TGATATTTTTTAGAATTGAGGCCTGGTGCACGCCACTAGTGGAGCGGAACTAAAGCATCTGCAAGCTATAACCCGTGCCGGATTGAAGCAGTCTTGCAGCACTTCCGGTGCTACGATGCAAAGTAGACAAATGTATCTTCTTCACGCATCAGTTCGAATCGCGGATGCTGGACAATGACTTCTTCATTATCGTAAAATTCTAACACCTCCCTTTGACCACGCCAGTTCCCTTTCCTTATTTTCCTTAATATTTTCTTCGGAAACCACTCATGCAAATAATAGTGGGCATAAGTCGCACTACCGCCCTGCACTTTCCACTTAAACCTCATTTTTTTCAAAATTTAGGTAACAAAGTTGTTAGAACGCATAACTATTAGCCGCAGCACGAAATCTTTCTATGTAAAACAAAAAATCTACTTAAAACTAAACACAAATGTGATGTGTTAGTTGATTAAATCGATTTGTTCAGTTTGATTACGTTCCAACCGGCTAGCAGGAAGACTGAGCTTAGCGAGAACGCGCATCATGGCTGCATTTTCTGTACGAAGTTGCAAATTGGCCGCAGTGAGGTCGTCCAATTCCTGCATGCAACAAACCGAGACTATAAGCGTACAAAAATACAGCAACCCTAGCCGAGCACTGTCAACAGCAATGCCACTCCTGAGACAGACCCGAGTGAAATTGAATGTATGCTTACCTTGAGCTGAATCTCGAGATCAGCTATCTTTCGTTCTAAAGTGCGTCGTTCGCCATCGTCTAAGGAATTGCCCGAAGCCGACTTCGCAATCGGATTCGGCCCGCCAGCAGGAGAACCGATTCGAAACCGTGATGACGTTGTACGTAACGCGGTTACGGAACCACTCTGAAACGGTGAATTATACATATATTTACACCACAAACATACTGTTTTCGTTAGCCTAGTAGTAAAACACGAACATGTTCCTGTGAACGTTTCATTTCTTCGATCTCCTTTCGTAGTCGTTCACATTCGAGTTTTTCTTTTTCGTAAAGCGCTTTGTAGTTCAAATTCATCTCAGCCGGGCGCGAATTAATTGTGTACTGAAAAATACTCTCAACACAACAAACAAAACAATGGAACAAGTAAAACAAAACCTACAGTGGCCGAAGTATAAGAATTGTTGCCAACAGTTTGACCGGGAAGTCGGGGTTGTACTCGCCCAACAACAGCCGTGGGGGCCACATTTCGAGTAGTGGTGCTCGTCTGACTCTGAACAATAGAAGAAGTCTACGAAACGAAGAACAATCCTCCCCAAAAGGTATTTGTTTAACTGATATTAAAACTGAATACAAAGGGTTAATTTTGTGAGCAGTTGAACTGATGTACTACTAAGTAGCTATATATTTTCAAAAACTCTTTCTTTACGTTTTAAATGAACTAAAAAGCATTCCAAGTCAAAAAGCCACCATACCACAGGATTGACGCTTGAAGCTACTTCCACAGAGCCTCGCACAACGTCGGGACGAGCAGCAGCAACGGTCGATACGGGTGGGCGAGTAAAAACAGAAGTGACAGTTCCAGAGATACGAACTGTTGGTGATGCAGGCTCAGCAGATGTAGTACGTACAGTTGTCGTCGTACTGTTACCGCTTTCGGTAACCTGACGAACTGACACCGCCGCCTGTATGTCCTCTGGCAGCACGGGACCCGTACCTCGACGATTCGAACGAGATACTGTCAAGCCCTACACAAACACAATTAACTAAACATCATGCTTGGAATCAGGATAAAACAAAATTTACAACATATTCACACAGCACAGCAATTCCTAGTTTGTGTCATGCAAATCAAATAGGCTGTTACCTGACTCTTTCTTCGCATTCCAGAGGCTGCTGAATTTGCTGTTGAAGTGGATGACAGTGAAAGAGGTGCAGCAGGTGCAGCAGTTGTCGACGATGGTTGAGAGCGTTCCGAACTGCTACGATCAGCCATGGCAGGTTGGTCTGAACGAGTTGGGTGCATAGAATGCAGAAAACAAAAATAGCGTTTGAACAAAAATAGTTCATTTGACAACATTCCCACATTTCCGCCGCTCCACAATTCGCTACCAGAAGATGATCTCTTCCTAAGGCAGAATATCCCATCTATGCGATCTCATTTCAACATAGTTTCTCAAAATCTGAAATTCCCCAGATCTCTACTACTTTATTATTCCCAACAAATGTCCTGGACTTTTTTGAGACGAATTTCAACCCGACTAAATTAGCCAACCAAATTTTGAACACAAAAGAAAGAAAATGCAGAGGATCAAGTGTAGAGAAAGATAGAATGAAGTCGAAGTACTTTATAAGTGTTCATAGCTGTTCCCTCTCACAGAGAGCTACCGAGTGGAAGGAAAGTTTAGAAAGAAACTTCCAAAGAAGCCCGCTATGGAATGAGTCACGCATTGCAAAGCATCGCTGTTTCATCGAAATCATATGGAACGAAAATAAGGCAAAACTTCCTCACCTCGCGGTGCACTTCCTGCCCGACTAGAAAGTGATTCATCCAATGAACCTCGTTCTACACTTCCCGAACTTCGATCCGAACACATTGATGTGGAATCGCGTTCCTCCGAAGCAAGCCGAGCAATACCCTTCAATAATAAAATCGCTCAAAATAACATATAAAAGGCAAGAAAGTGAAAATAATCAAACACAGAAACGATGCTTCAACCACATGAAACTTTTAACTTTTTTTCTATACCAAAGAAGCAGAACAAAAGAAACGACTTTTCTCGTACCGTTTCCCTAGGAGTAGAACAACTGGAGACGTTAGCAGTTACGTTTTGAGTTGCAGCTAAAGCTCGTCGTCGAGCGTTTTCAGCCATTGCTATTCGACTAGCTTCCTCAAGATGTTCCTAAATTGTTTCATAAAAACCAAGCCTTGACATACCCACTCAAACAATGCTAACAGTTTTGTCACACCTTAGTCACTCCTTGTGTTGAACGGCGATGTTGCCGCTGCATCCTTGCTGTATTCCGTCTTTCAGCTTCGCTTTCAATAACAGCACTGGACTGCCATGGCCTTAAACACGAATTTTAATGGAAATAAAAGGACGTTTTACATGAGAAGGAGCATGGTTAGAGGGCTGATATTAGGGCAAAAGATGAAAATATTATTAATTGTACAGTTGAGGCGTCTAGCCGCTCCGCCAAACTAAACTATTTGCAAATGGAGATGATTGTTAGGAATGCAGTGAATAAGGACCCACAGCGGGGTTTGATTGCAATTCCCACGAACTTTGGGAAAAAGTTACCATGCAACAAATCTCAGAATCCACAGAGATCTTGGCAAATTATCGCCGCAAACTGACAAGGTAACGTTAAGTGAAAAGTTAGGAAGGATATGGAAGGTTATTTATATAGAGTTGCACGCTATCCAAAAAAAGTGGCACCTCATTTTGCTTGGATTGAGCTGATGCGGATGGAGACCACGCGGCAATTCACCACACACTACTGGAGGAGCAGCCTCGGTCGGGTGGACAAGTGGACGAAATGCGGAGATTTTGCTTTGCACAAAGGGTGAACAAGAGGAAGCCATGGTGGGAGTCTGCGCATCGACAGACATAGGATTCTTCACACGTGAAAGGGAAGCCCATGGTAAGTTCGACGGAGTTGATGTCGATCGCTGCATCGGCACGGGAGCACTACTGCAATATCCAGACGAAGTGAAATAGAAACGAATGGAGAAATATCCCAAAATGGCCACAACCCCTTGTAATAATGTAACAACTTAGATACGTGCCGCATATTTGCAAAATGCAAAGAACGTCACCCCATTTCAGTTCAGAAATCAAATGCAAATGCATGTGAAACTACAAGCATCAAAAACATCACTGAACCCAAAACCTTATGAATGCTTAGAAATTTGGACTGCCAGGTAACAACCACGAATGAAACGACTAAACATTCACACAAATGTAGGCACACTAAGTGTTCGGCCCTATTTGAAAGCGAACACGAACGAGCATCCCGATGACCTTAGCAACGAAATCACACTCATGAGTGAGACTACTGCAATCGATCTCTGCATTCTTCATCATTGTCAGTCTCACTGTTCCAACCTATTCTTTTCCAAATTGAATCACCACAAAAAAATCGTTCCCTTTATAAAGGAATTTGATCGATTCCTGTGCAGACAGATTCAAAATACTCCTACTTCGAAATTTTCAGCATGTTTACCGGCATTTTCTTCCGAACCGTCTCTGTATACCGTCACATCTAGGTGTCTATGACAAAGGACTACAGAAACTGGACTTGCCATGAAATTCCTGGGGAAATCAATAGATTTGGGGCACAGTGAAAAAAGCAAGAAGAAGAAAGAAGAAGAAACGCACGGCGGTTTTGAAAGGACAGAAGGAGTTGTTCCAGTGAATGGCACACTACTTCCTGAAGATGTAGCCAAAGACATGGACATAGGTGAAGAAGAAGAATCGGACGATGCCGCTGTCGAAGAACGGGTTCCAGATGACCCGCTTGAGCTGCCGGATCTATAATTCCCATTTGAATTTCTATGAGTCACATATTTGTCAAAAAAAAAACAAGTAAAAATAAATGTTGACAAGTCCCAATTATGCTATGAATTCGCTTGTCAGAATCTCGCAATTGTGGCAGAATCGTAAAAAAAGCAACGCTGACAATAATGACCCCGAATCAAATTAAAGATACCACACCGCAGCAGCCCGTCAAAAAAAGCTTGACAAATGGAGATCTGTAGCACTTACCGTGTTACGAGTTGCACTCCACGGTTGATCCATGAGTTAGGCTGTTGCAAAGGCCTAGTAGGTATTGAAACAGTGGCGGAAACATGTTGATCACCACTTTGAATTGAAGACGTTGAGCCGTCCTGAATGAGCTTTCAGAATATTCCTTATGTGTTATGACAACAAAAACCCACCGATGACTTCGCAGCATCAGCAATGGATACAGGTACGTTAGCAGAACGACTTAATCCAATTGTTTTTACGGGGGATGACAACGATCGATCTGCCGATACAGTAGATCGTGTACATGAAGGGAAACGATCAGCAGGCGTCTCTTGTGTTGTTCTGAATCGAAATCGATACTTGTTCCGGCACAGTATGCATTAATATGAATGTGTTACATAATGCTCAAAACGCTTTTCTGTTCTGCCATGTCCTTCTCAAGCAACATCGAATTGGTCGCCTCAACTAAACTAGGTGCTGCATAGAAGGCGATGCTAGCAAAAGTTCTTCCCAATAGCAACATTCCTTTCAAACAAAGCGCAGGCAGAGCAGAGCTCTACAGTGAAACTTAATTTGATATTCGCTAACGTACCTTGGCAGAGAAGGAGGTTCGCTGGCGCTCCTTTCTCCTGATGAGACCTTCTCATTTACCACAACTGGTGGAGAGCTGGGCTGGCTCTCAATACTTGAGGCGTCCTGCAGTGATGGTGCCTCTGACGGCGGTGATGGCGATCTTTCTTCTATTTTTCGCAACTTCACAGATGAGTGTAACACTTCATTTTCGCTAAAAAAAGAGAGAAATCACCGATGCGGTAACAACTGAATCAAACAAACTGTTCATCATATGATAAATAAGTCTATCACCACAACAGGTATTACTGAAATACCTCGCTTGATCCTTGTGTTTCAGCTCCCGTTTGTGCTCTGTAGAAAGTACACTGGTGTGCTCCTCATGTGACATTCGGGCGTTTTTCTCCTAGAATGAGCAAATTTACCATCAATGATTTGGAAAAATAGAACGCAAAAAATGGAAAGTATAACTGATGAGAAAATTTGTGTAAAAACAGCTGCGTCTACGCAAGAATTTGAGTCTAATCGCTAAATTCTAACCGATTCTTGAATATGTGATGGGATTAGCAGAAATGCAGCTTATAGGATCAGATATTTAAGCCATGAAGAAAACAACGCAAACGAAAACACCTGTAATATGCCAGCAGGAGCAGTAGGTGGTGACTTTCGTTTGTCAACTGATCGCTCCAAATCCTCCAAATACTCCACGACATCTTTGTCAGCAACGGCCAACACGTTTTGTCCCTAAGAACAAAATGATTAAACCGTCAGGAAACAATTACAAGCTCATTTACAGGCTAGCCATTAAAATTTGCACAGCGGGTAAAAAAGAAACGTGCTTGGCAATGGCGATATTTGCCTACGATGATTAACATTGAAAATAAAAATGGAGAACCAAAAGAGCGAATTTTAAATGAAACTGTGAGGTAAAGTGGGAGCTGTATGAAAATGGACTAAAGCGCAGAGAACAGTGGAAGGAAGGGGGCTCACAAAGCATCAATTTAACAGAAGCCATTAATACATCTACATGAAAAAACCTAAACACTCACTGCATAGTTAGTATCCATAATACTTGCACCGTGTTCCATCAATATCTTACATGAATCCCTTTCAGCCCAGTGAGCTGCTGCATGCAGTGGAGTCCAGCCATCCTGAAAACAAAGCGAACTGCCACATTGCATGGTAAGAAAAATGAATGCAGCTTCGCATAACGCGAAAGCTATGCATTGCTTATGCATTCACACAGCTACTTCCAAACCGCACCTTATCTGGTGCTCGTATATTTCCACCAGCTTTAATGAGCAGCTCAAGAAGTTGCGTATAACCCTTCGCTGCTGCAACATGCAAAGCAGTCGCTCCTGTGCGACGATGAGGTTGGTCACTGAATGAAAAGAATAAGGCAGTTCAATATGCTGCACGGTTTTTGCACGAATATTTGATCTAGCTGCACGATATGACTGATGAAAAAATCATTCCGTACCGATACTCCCCATCGCGAAGCCACTGCTGAGCGTCTCTCATCATTATTGCCAGTTCTTGATCACGACACTGCTCAGGAATCACTCCCTGATCGCGATAATCACGTTCAAGATATTCCCTACACGACTCGTCGTCAGCTAAGTCCAACGCTAATTCTTTATCACTGCAACGAACAAGGATGATCGAAAATAGTGGGATAAGCAAAATCATAATCAATGGGAACTTTGCGTACCTGTTGATTACGTTAAGTCGAGCCCCGTTTTGGCACAGATATTTAACTATAGCTAAATTTCCGCAGCAAGCTGCTGCATGCAGAGGAGTCCAACCCTCATTGTCTTGAGCATTTACGTCAGCACCCTTTTCACATAAAAATCGCACCATGTCTGGTTTACTGTCGATGACTGACTAAAATGGAGACAAATTCAACCAGATATTCGACCAGAGCAATAGAGGAAAAAATTATGAAAAAAAGAAAAATAAAAACAGTAAATACCTGGTGCAAAGCAGTCAAGCCGTCAACAGTGGCAGTGTTTATATCAGCTCCTTTAGCGAGTAATTCTTCTACTTCTTCCTCATCACCAGACATACAAGCGCTCAGGAAGATGTCACTATCCTGAGCAAATAATGATGAGTACATCGTTACATTTGAGCATGAGGATGAGGAAAAGATTCAAGCACTAGGAAAATTAACAAAGAAAAGTTTTCGAAAATGCATTATCAAACAAACCTGGAATTTCACACGAGTATTCTTTCGCCGATGTACGGGCTCGGCGTTCATCTCACTGCTTTCCCACCGCTGCAGTTGCTCCTGGAATTAAAAAGAAATCAGCAAAAGTGAAGAAAACTGTGACCCTAAGGAAAACAAAGTAGAAGGGGGAACGTGAAGGGCCAAGTGAAATATGATACTGTCGCCTGTCTGGAACCTGTTCAGACGACATGCGGCAGAAGCGCTGCGCGAAAAGCAAAGCTATCTTTGTACAGCGAAGTGAAAGAACACATTCCACGATAACATCATGTAGCTAGTGAGATTTAAATATGAAAATGTAGGTGCACTTGGGTGTGCCCGAAAAGAAAGCTATTTAAAGTTCCAAAAGCACCAAAAACAGAAGCATTTTCAGTCACTTCGAGGCATCCGCGAGTTGACGTCGAAGAGCAGTTTAAAGTAGTGACGAGAAAGCTTTTAGATAAGGGAGGTGGAGGCAACAATGTAGCGCAGTGTTCATGGCCTGGCGCACCTCGCCAATGGGACTTGAAGGACGAGCGTTATTAGGCCTCGTCATACACCTAGAAGCGATGAGAGAAAAGATCGATCAGAACGCTTGCGGTTCTGTCTACAAGTAGATGGGATGGTAACACTCAGGTAACAGTCATTGAGCCTTCAAGAACGGATATGAAGAGCAGAGGAAACAAGAAACAGGAGAATATAGTGCAGAAACTAAGTTACACATTACCAGTAAATACTATGAATATTTCTGAAGTATCAATTGGCTGAAATGTCCGAAAATTGGAAACGCTATTGCTTCTCACAGCTAGTTTCATACATTGGCAGGACAAGTGCTTAACTGCGTCACATTGTTGACATGAGGCTTACGGCGCAGAACGAAAGTGCTCCGAGGAACCTGCTTCACCCTTCCTGCACTTACATTAGACGTCCGAACGGAGCTAGAAAATGAAAATAAAGTAGAACGCTTTTGCCATCGACAAAGATCGAAATAATGTTATGAATCATGTGTGACTGAAGGTAATGTTGATCGATCGTGGCAGCTTTCAACGCAATGAAAAGGCGCAGGAAGAAGCAGGGCGGTATGACAACCCTTTTAGACAAAAACTATGAATAGGAGGACACTTGAAGTCAGCGAGGCAATGACTCTCTAAGTTTATACCCAGTTCTTTCAAGCGAACAAAAGGGAGCGAGAGTGGAACGCGTACTTCTTTGTAACTTCAAAGGCAGTAAAACAGCAGGGAATAAGAGAAGTACGCAAAAAATCAACAGCCTCCGATTCACTTCCGCATGTGTTCATCTTTCAAAGCATCTCAAAAATTACTGGCAAATCTTTTAAAAAAAAAGTCGAATTTTAGATGAAATCTACACTAAAAGCCCTCTTAGCTTGACAGCACACTTGGCCAATGCTCAATATTTGGAAATATACTTACTGAGAGAGATTTAAAACAAATGAAAAAAACGCTGCCATCGTTCCCACATTATCCTGTGGAAATGGAACTCAGGGCGGGTTATGAGATAGGCAGCTGGGCATGCTTCGCACCGTGGCTGGTCTACGCACCAAACGTCGAGTAATAAGCCAAAAACAAAAGCTAAGTTCGCTCAAAAGTCTGCACACATTCTCTACGTTTCAAAATACTGTTTGGAAGTAATAGGTACTGCTTATAAAGAAACGAGCATCCACATTGTCATAACTAATATTTGGAAGATAAACAGTGATCGACTGAAGAATTTGTAACAAAGAATAAAAACAAGTCTATCGGCCTTGATAGACTTCCGTAGAATGCGCTATTTGCATTCATAATCATGGTACATTTGGCTGCGACTCATCTCATAGAACGGTTTACGCACACAGCTGATTCAAAAGTCAGTGCTTATTCGCAGAAGCTAATATTAATCAACCGATTCTAGCGAGATGGAAGGTTTGATTGGTCGGCATTTGACCCTCAAACAGTGTGCGTGGTAAACGGCGCCGTTCGCTAACACATCGCTTCCGCCCCAGGCAACTATGGTTAAACAAACAAATCTTAATGCTAATCATTTCATTGGTTAGCCATTATTCCCGTTTTCGTTGGATATCTGAAATCTGTAAGTCTGCAAGCATAGTGATGTGTCCGCTTCACCGCAATCAACTGGCAGTGACTCATCTTTTCTGGCCATGATGCTTCATCTCATCAATACGCGAAGAATCAAAAGACACGCAAGCGAAGTTTCGTGTAAAATAAGAACAAGATCGGCGGACATGTAATGCTACTGAGAAGCTAAGTAGCTCCACCTCTGAAGCAGTCACAACTGACAGAGCTGAAGAAACACCATTACGACAGGAAACGATGTATAATTCCCGGGTAGGCCATCTTCATAACGCCCATTTCATGTTGACGTTGTGAAAAGGCTCCTTCCATTCCGACTCCTGAACTTTAGATTTGTTTCCAGCTACCAGTTCAAGAATAGAATCTTCAGCAATATTGACAAACTGATATCAACACTGAAGTCAGCTGATAGAAGTTGAACTTGAATGATAATTTCTCATGAAAAGAATCGACACTCAACATAGATGGATGGCTTATTCGAGCGGAAGAATTACGCTTGTAAGGAACTAAATAGCACAGATCGGTTCTCAACTACCAATATTAGTTTTAGTGACAAGTAAGAGAATTAGAAAAGAACCCAGATGACGGTTAACATGCACTAGAGTGCCCCAGGCAACAAAGCAAGTGTTCCAACTGTTTTGCTGTGTAAATTTATATTCATGCTTGCGACAATCCAAGCAGTAAAGATCAGGGAGATTATAAGATGAACGTATAAATGAGAACGAAGTGCATGCGGATGTAAAAACTCATGTCAAGAAATTAAAGCGTGAGAAATGGGTCGATTGTGAAGGAATCTGCGTCTGGCGGCACCTTCACCGTACGTTGACTGTCCCGATTTTTGAAATAATGAACATAGAACTGTGCTCAGAGCTCTATTCGAGATCTGATACATTATGGACCACCTCCCACAGAGATATTTGATAGTATAAATGCAGAGCAACAGCGGACTAGTTTGCTCGAGGGCTTGAACCAGTCGCTGGTGCACGTAAAGCGGCGCCAATACAGACACAATGCACGGCTTCGCTTCAATGTTACCGCGGACAAATGCAGCAAACGATGAAGACTTGAAAGAAAACGGAGTCACTACAAACTGCGATGCGAACTAGAGTACCGTGAAGTAGGCAATTAAAATGCCGATCGTGGTGAGCTTCAAAGAGCAGGAGATAAAGTAAACCGTGGCTTCTTTTTCACCCGTGCTTTAATCCTGCGCAGTTCCAAGGCCCACATAGCGTGAGCCACAGGCCAAGGGCTAACACAAACCTCCTTCATTTGCCACAAAAGTCTTGTATCTCCCACAGCTTGTCGCATTCTTAGATGACCCTACTCCCAGCCTGCCTGAAACCATAACAACTAACAGCTATCACAGCTGAGTTTCTCCCATCCCCCAAGAAACCTATCGCCCCGTGTAGGTAAGCCCTTTTTGAAGCCACATAGGACCCCTACTACAACCGCTCTCTTCCGAGTTGGTTCCTCACATTTGGTGCAGTGATACTTGTGAAGACTACAGGATTGCATAGGCGTAGAGAAGCACTGTGCAATGACACCTTTAAACTCGATCAAACAACTGCAGCCATCGAAACAAAAAAGAAGGCAGTTTGAGAAGAAAAGAAGCTGCAACAGGAAGTGCTATCATGCCCCTATGCTCTTAAAACGACAAACGAACAGCGTGAAAAATAACGCAAAGGGAAGCAAAATATAGAACACAGTGTGAATGCTGATTTGAATCCGTTTGAAAAGAACGACTTATGACGTGAGACCGCACAGAATAACTGCAGCCTAACACATGTAGGCACGTAAGCATTGACTCTGCGCAGCACTATTTATGATGCAGAGGATGGAAAGACTGGTTTCCATCGATATTAGCGGCTTAATGATTCAAGGATGGAATAGTGCCCAGACAGACCAAGAGCCAAACACACTCCCTAGTTCCTTGATCTCTGCAACACTTCTGAGACTACTAACAACAAAAGCATCCATACCAGCTGCGAAAGCACAGAAGTGCGAATATTCATTTGATAACTTACTCTAACATCGAAAACCTGTCATTGAAAAAACAAACACAGAAGCGCCCAACAAAGATTAATCACCGCCTAAATTGACTGTCAAACTGACTGAATCCACAAAACAAGCAAAGCGCTAGAAAGATGAACATTAGAGTCCAAAGTAAGTAAGTGCACGTACATCTTCGTCTCAAAGGGTGGTTTCACTGAATGTTCTTGTGGTATTCTCTCGAAAAACAACCATATGTTAGTATGTTTGCGCAACTTAAAAAGAAGTACGGACATGTTCCGAGTGTAGCAAGTGTGCAGTGGCACCTTATTTCAAAATGTTATCGCACATATTAGAGTAGTACAGCGATATAAATAACTAGCATCACTATACAACGGACCGGTCGTCTGATTGGAAAGTACACAAGGATTGGTGGAATACCAGCTTCACGATTTGACACTCAACCTGTTCTTGTGAAAAGAAAAAAGATAATGCTCTGTCAGTTTTTTGCCCAACCCGAAATAGCGTCGGGTACTACTTACTGAAATAATTACGGTTTACTGTGCCTTCGTACCGCTTTGCGTAGTACTAAGAAAATTTTTTTAAAAAATCCCGAAAAGTTGTTGGGGCGCACTTGTTCTTGCATGACAGTAGAAGCAGGATCTTGAATAGCACCCTGACTGATCAAAAAACTCAGAAGAGTTCACGCTCGTTTCGTGGACGGGGCGGGGGATGGATTCAAAGTGATATGAGATCACTCACGTACTGAGGACTAGCATTACGGAGAGAAACACTATCCAGAATATTTCATGTTCCCCTGAACCGTCCTTCCCGTCTTGGGGTTAGTACCTAAAATGAGCTTACTAGAGTTTCTTTGAATGCCCTGCTTTTAAATGTACCCCCCCCCCCCTCAAAGACATGAGCGCCACCCATGAGATTATTCCAAACGAAGAACTTCTAAAGTGCTTAATCCCACAA